CCTGTCAGTCGTCCCCATGCCTGTGATTTTAGTGTACTTAAGTGCAGGAGCCTGCCAGTTGATATGTCTGACTGGAACAACTCCAGTTTCCTGGTGAACGATTTCAGCTTTTCAACCATGTCCACTATGGTTTTGCCTCTCCCCTGTAGCTGCAGGTTAAGCTGGTTCAGATGGCCAAAAATATCAGTTAAAAATGCTACATTGGAAATGGACATTTCATCGTGTAGAAAGGCAAGGTGGTCGTCTGCAGCTCGCATCTTGCTTAATCTCAGGAACGCCTTGACCTCATCCAGTAGTGCACAGAAGCTCTCCAGCGCTTTGACCTTACTTAACCAGCGCACATCGTTGTGGAGCAGCAGGTCAGCATATGTGGCCTCCTCTGACTCAGCCACAAGTTGTCGGAAAAGACGGTGCTGATGTACCCCTGGTAAAATTAATGACACGCATCACTTTATCCATAACCCCCTTTAGCTCACCACTGAGCCTGGCACACAGGACACTGAGGCAATGCAATCCGTGCATTTAGTGCGCGATCACCTTCAATTTGCTCACCAGACCTCTGTGCTTTCTGACCATGGCAGGTGCCCCGTCTGTCAATGAATGCAGCCTGAACAATTCCTCCAGTTTGGTAAATATAATATCTCCAGTGGTGTTCCACTCTAATGGAATTAGAGACAACAACTCCTCCTTGAACTCCTTCCCATCAAAATATCTCACATAAACACACATCTGGCTTACATCTGTGTTGTCGGTGCTCTCATCAATGGCCAGAGAAAAGTAATTGACTCAGACCACTGATAATAAATCCGTGCACAGCATCCGACAGTGCGTCTATGCGCCGGGTAGCGGACCTCGCAGAGAGAGGCAGCGATCACTCCATCCATTGACTTATCAGTAGCCAGCTCCTCCAAAACTGCCACCATTACCTCTTTAAACATCTCAGTGAATGGTTTGCTGTGCCGGGCAAGCACCCATGCTGCTTTCAGGGACGCACTTGTCACTTTCTGTTAAGCTGTGAGGCCTCGTACCAGGATCCTGCTGCTGTGCGCATAACCTGCTGCCAGTGCTTTAAGTTTCTGCTTTTGTGCATCTGTCTGGAGCGGATACCCAACTTTGAAGTTGCCATGCTTTGTGTCGTGGTGCCGTCTTATATTGTATTCCTTGCAAACTGCAACAGCTTCGTTGCAGATTAGACAGACTGATTTGGCATTAATAAAATCAGGTAGGATGAACGCATACTTTTCTTTCCTTTCTTCTTTGTACGTCTTACCTTCGCTGTCAGCTTTTCTTTTCATTGCTTTTGACAGTGACATTTTGTCTTGCTTGCTAGCAATGTTTTGCTAATGTCTCTGTGCACACAACGCAACCTCCCGCACACAAACAATAACAAAGTTAGGATGTAACGCGAGAATATGTCGGATATCCAATCCTGAGAGTAAATGTCCATAAAAAATTATTACAATACGTTAGTTAGGCTCAAAGAAGTAGTCATTTTCAAAATGGAAATGATACACATTTATTATTAACTGTCATCAGCAGGTTACTATTATAAGCTGCTTTATAATGCAGCCACAGAGTGGAGCAGGAGACAAAGCAGTAAGAACACACTAATAACAGTCTGTAGCAAATTCAAGTTACTTTATTTTAAACATAACTTTCTTAAATTACTTTTTTGTACAATATATAATAGTATAGATTAGGGAAAAAAAGTTTTGTTTGGTAGAAAAAAAAGGTTTCACCCAAGATGTGATGTTTTGGCAGTTGCTTGGAAAAAAATTGGAAAAAATTTGGCCCAAGGCCAAACTTACTTGCTGACCCCTGTCATATAGGATACTTTTGCAGAAAAATATTTTGCCTCGAAAACTGCATAAACTGGTTGTTCAAAAGATTACATCTCTAATCAACAGACCATTTAACAGCTGATAAATAGCACAAATACAGTAAGCTCAATAGCATGTTTGTATTACACAGCATCACAGTATGGTGAAGGTGCACTTTTATGGCAGCATCTGCCGTCTTTGCAGTTTTTTCATAAAAAAATGGTGAGTCATTCTGGCCGCCGCAAGTTTACTCTTTTTACTGAATTGCTGTTAAACCTGCCTAGAATGACATTCCATGATGTGTATCGTTTAACAGAGAAACACTCTCCCACAGCCCGTTCCAAACTGGACAAAGGATACAGTTTATTTTTTGAGAACTTCATCTACAACTATGAAGGTGAGTGGCTAACCTAGATTAGCTTATAGCTATCATTATCAGTAGCTCAGTCCATAGGGACCTGGGTTGGGAACCGGAGGGTCGCCTGTTCGAGTCCCCGTCCGGACTGGAGCGTGGACTGGTAGCTGGAGAGGTGCCAGTTCACCTCCTGGGCACTGCCGAGCACCTTGCCTTGAGCAAGGCACTGAACCCCCAAACCGCTCGGGGCGCCTGACCAAGGCAGCCCCCTCACTCTGACGTCTCTCCACTTTGTGCATGTGTGTCTTTCGGACCTGTGTGTAATTGACAGCAAGAGTGAAAAAATTGAATTTCCCCTCAGGGGGATTAATAAAGTATATACAGTACAGGCCAAAAGTTTGGACACACCTTCTCATTCAATGCGTTTTCTTTATTTTCATGACTATTTACATTGTAGATTCTCACTGAAGGCATCAAAACTTTGAATGAACACATGTGGAGTTATGTACTTAACAAAAAAAGGTGAAATAACTGAAAACATGTTTTATATTCTAGTTTCTTCAAAATAGCCACCCTTTGCTCTGATTACTGCTTTGCACACTCTTGGCATTCTCTCCATGAGCTTCAAGAGGTAGTCACCTGAAATGGTTTTCCAACAGTCTTGAAGGAGTTCCCAGAGGTGTTTAGCACTTGTTGGCCCCTTTGCCTTCACTCTGCGGTCCAGCTCACCCCAAACCATCTCGATTGGGTTCAGGTCCGGTGACTGTGGAGGCCAGGTCATCTGCCGCAGCACTCCATCACTCTCCTTCTTGGTCAAATAGCCCTTACACAGCCTGGAGGTGTGTTTGGGGTCATTGTCCTGTTGAAAAATAAATGATCGTCCAACTAAACGCAAACCGGATGGGATGGCATGTCGCTGCAGGATGCTGTGGTAGCCATGCTGGTTCAGTGTGCCTTCAATTTTGAATAAATCCCCAACAGTGTCACCAGCAAAACACCCCCACACCATCACACCTCCTCCTCCATGCTTCACAGTGGGAACCAGGCATGTGGAATCCATCCGTTCACCTTTTCTGCGTCTCACAAAGACACGGCGGTTGGAACCAAAGATCTCAAATTTGGACTCATCAGACCAAAGCACAGATTTCCACTGGTCTAATGTCCATTCCTTGTGTTTCTTGGCCCAAACAAATCTCTTCTGCTTGTTGCCTCTCCTTAGCAGTGGTGCTAAGGAGGCCTGATTGGCGCAGTCTCCTCTTAACAGTTGTTCTAGAGATGGGTCTGCTGCTAGAACTCTGTGTGGCATTCATCTGGTCTCTGATCTGAGCTGCTGTTAACTTGCGATTTCTGAGGCTGGTGACTCGGATGAACTTATCCTCAGAAGCAGAGGTGACTCTTGGTCTTCCTTTCCTGGGTCGGTCCTCGTGTGCCAGTTTGGTTGTAGCGCTTGATGGTTTTTGCGACTCCACTTGGGGACACATTTAAAGTTTTTGCAATTTTCCGGACTGACTGACCTTCATTTCTTAAAGTAATGATGGCCACTCGTTTTTCTTTAGGTAGCTGATTGGTTCTTGCCATAATATGAATTTTAACAGTTGTCCAATAGGGCTGTCGGCTGTGTATTAACCTGACTTCTGCACAACACAACTGATGGTCCCAACCCCATTGATAAAGCAAGAAATTCCACTAATTAACCCTGATAAGGCACACCTGTGAAGTGGAAACCATTTCAGGTGACTACCTCTTGAAGCTCATGGAGAGAATGCCAAGAGTGTGCAAAGCAGTAATCAGAGCAAAGGGTGGCTATTTTGAAGAAACTAGAATATAAAACATGTTTTCAGTTATTTCACCTTTTTTTGTTAAGTACATAACTCCACATGTGTTCATTCATAGTTTTGATGCCTTCAGTGAGAATCTACAATGTAAATAGTCATGAAAATAAAGAAAACGCATTGAATGAGAAGGTGTGTCCAAACTTTTGGCCTGTACTGTATATCATTTGTAGTTTGCTTGTCGACCGACAACATTCCCACGCTGGCGCAGAGGAAATGACGCGTTTTACCTCACAACAAGAAGGGAGGGGGAGGAAGAGTGGAGAGTCTCATAGCAAGAGGCAGAGTGCAGGTAGAAAGAGAAAGCAACATGGCGGAGAACCCAAAGAAATGGCCGAGACACGGTTCAGAAGTGGATCCTACCACAAAGAAAAAGCCTGGACGTTCAGCTGAAGGTCTGTTTGCAAAGAAGGAAAGTGACCGACAGAGAAGGCAAACAAGGATTTGTATTGGCGTCACTTTTCCTCGGTGGAGAGCCCTGAAGGAAGAAATTGGGCTGAGGGCAGACACGGATGTTGCCTTGCTGCTGTTGGATAAGAAAGTCACTTGGTTTATAATTATGAGTAGCATGTGTTACTGTTACATGTACTGGACCTAGTACTTTATTATTTTCTTGGAAATGGTGCTATGAACGTAATGTTAGTAGCCTGGTGTTCGCCACGTTGTGTAGCGAGAGTTACTCTGTGTACCGTGGCGAGCAATACACAGTGTTTAGCAAGTGTTACTTAGCGCGAGCATGGAGAGCTACACACGTTCAGTTTGGTGTTGCGTTTAACCGTAATACTGCTTACAAAAAATAGACAGATCACCAACAACATAACATCCATGGCCGAGCTAACAATGGAGTTTAGGCTACGGTCACACATTCACAAATGATAAGAATAATGTCATGCCAGTGCTGAGTATGGGCAGTGTGTCACGCATCAGTCTGCCGCTTGTGGATACAAAATTACAACTTCCATCATTTTCATTACAGTTACAAAAAGTACTCTAACGGGCCATTGTCATCAACCCCCATGAAGACTGACAGAAACATCCGACCACCTCCTCCCCCATCACTTTCCAGCAATGGCACTGAATTTCAAAGGTACAGTAGTTTGTGTCTGTGTGAGTGGGTGTCCTAAGACCAACATACAGCTTGAATTAGTAGCTGCATAGCTCTTGTTTTGTAAATATCCACACGTGACATTTCTAAATGGTCTTCTGCAGACCAAGTGGGTTTGCTTGCAAATCACATTAGACCCACAAATGTATTTGCACTTCTAGGGATGATATCTTCAACATGCCCTGGGTTGGTACTCTTCCTGATCAGGAGGATGTGATAGATGTCTTGCAGGAAAGGTAAATCAATCTATAATATCAGCTAAATGTAAAAGAGGCATTATTTATTATGGTCTATTCTTTGGAAATAATGCCTGAGTTACTCATACATTCATATCACCTTCTATAGCATGCACTCCCTAAATATGGAGGACACTCAGATTGTTGATGAGGACGAAGCCAACAACCTCAGGAACAGTGTGTAAGTGCTGCTGATAATGTACAGTTACCTTTGAATGCTGTATTTGTTGTATTTATAGTGTGACTTACGCACATACACACAAAATTTGGACATCGTCGTGAAGGAAGAATTTATGGCAGCACTGTTGTTGAGTTGACTGTACATGTGAACCAGAATATTTTTCACTACTTTTTCTTTTCCCGATTATCGGTCAATATAGAATACTTACAAAAATGTATGTTTTCTTTTTAGTATTGAGTGGGAGAATGAGGGAGAAGGAAGCACCTCTGATACAGAGCTGTCAATCCCAGAAGAAGAAGATGGAAGCTCTGATGAAGACTATGTTCCCCCTCTCTGTTTGCGGTATGTTTGGTCTGCAGTGTGGCCTAAATGGCTCTAAAATAGTGAGGATAATTAATTGAACAGTAGTTAATGAAGAGTGCATGGTTTTTATATTTCTGCATAAACTGTGTGTATAACTCATCTAATTCCTAACCATCTCAGAAGTTGTTTCTCAACATAGAACCGGTGGTTCCCTAAAGATGCCCTTCCCTGTTGAAACACTCCCAACTGTAGGCATTGACGAAATGGTGCATGACTTGAGAGAGAAGGAAGAAACTCCACCTGAGATCACATCTTTTCCTGACTACCAGAAGGTTTTATGCGAAGGTGACATTGTTGGTGAGAAAGCTGCAATAGCATATGAGAAAAACCTGAGACAACTTACAGGCTTTCTCAGATTCCCACTGGAGAAATGCAAATACAGTGACCCTCTCCTAGGAGTTGAATGTGATGCTGTACAACCCTTTGAGGTGATCATCAAGTCATGGGGAACAGCAACAACTATTGAATGGGTGAGGAAGCTATTATAGCACTAAGGTTTTGTGTTTTCCATTGGTTCTAAAGCCATGTCCAGGCACACTCTGCCTGCTTCATTTTATATAGAATGTACTGTAAAGTTGTTTGATGTTTCAATTATTTATGTTTTTTTTTTCTTTGTTATTTTTATGCACAGGTGTGTTCGTGAGGTCACAGCCTTTGGAGGTGGAACTCTCAGCCCATTTTCAAGTTTGGCCTTCAGGCAGGGGACTTCATGCTGGCCACCAACATCCTGCTGTCTGGAAACAACTACCACAAAATTGCACTTCTGTTCAGGTTCATGAACATGGGCATTGTTACCAAGTCCACTTTCTTTGCGGTGCAAGACTCCTATTGTGTTGACCCCATCGAGGAGTTTTGGCAGGAGAACAGATCAGCAATCATCAACCGCCTGCGTGCCAAGGATCACGCTGTAGCTATTGGTGAGTGCACAGAGATACATAAGAGGGAAATTAATTGAGTTTAGCACTTTTGAATCTGTTGTAAAGTGTTTGCTTTTGACTAACTTTCTCTTTATTTCTTCCAGCAGATGGAAGGATGGACTCTCCAGGTAAGTATTGCAATTATTATCAGTCTGCAATCACAAATAAAACCTGAAAGCAAAACATGACAAAAACAGGCTTGTTGAAGCAGTATTTGGGAGGTTGGTGCTACTTGCTGCGCCAGCTAGCCTGTTTCTGGTATCATATTCCTTTCGAGCATTATTTGGGATTGAGCACAAACATATGAAACTTTTCAGCAGATTATTTAGCACTACATGGTTCCCACCTTCTGTATTTCATGTACTCTCACATATTATAAAACTGTAATCCTATATTGTTACCATACAGGGCACTGTGCACAGTATTGCTCGTACACCACTATGGACTGTGAGTCCCGGGACATCATCAACATCACGACAGTCGACAAGAGAGAGACAAACAGGAACTCTGTTGCAATGGAGAAAGAAGGATTCATAAGAGCAATGGACCAACTTCTTTCTGAAATACCACTGAAAGAGATGTGCACTGATGCACATGTTCAAATCAAGGCCCTAGTTGGTGAGCTTGTACTGAGATCTAGTTACTAATACCTGTAACCCAGCTGCATTTAGGATGAATCACACTTACACCAGTGTTTGGTTTTTGTATGTTACAGATCCCAAGCGTGGGAGGTATGGTGACCGGGGAGTAATCCACACCTTGGACATGTGGCATGGAGTAAAAAGCTTGGCCAAGAAACTACATGCAGTAAGATTGTTATCTCCAGTACACTGTGCACTGACTGGCTGGACTGACGCATGCTAATACATAGAGTAACAGCGTTTTAATTTTTAACCTTTCTAGGCAGGACAGGTGAAAGGCCAAACAGAAATCCTACAGTGGTTGAAAGACATAGTCAATCACTTCTGGGTCAGTGGTAAGGAGGCACAGAACATGAACGGTTCATGGTGTGTACATGGAAATTGTTGGTATCAACTTACATGAAGCTAGTGATTGGTCCCAAGCATAACTTTAACTGATTGACTGTAACTATTACTCTATTTTTTTAAACCCCAAAAAAAGACCAAAACTGAAATGTGATCCAGTAGCATCTATCTGATGCAGCCATTGGCCACAACATCACTAACATTTTCAGTGTCACCAAGTGGAAAAAAGCTAAGATAAGCTGTTTTCCTGGTTGCAGGGCCTATGGCGAGGTGTTCTTTACCATGTGACCGGCCGTCATGAGTGGGCTTTTGGGAGGTGCCTTCATGAGCAACTGAATGATGAAGACCGTGAAAAGGAGTGGATCCAAAAAGATTCACCTGCCTACTTGGCACTCATTGGAGTTGTCCTGAACAAAAAGTGGCTAAAAGATGTCCCCAAATTTTTGAACTTCCGGTAAAGGAGATGTACTTGTCCAGAAAGCACTGTGTATGTGGATACTTGGAACAGGGGAATTTCAGAAAAGTAAGGCTGCAACATGTTATGATACAATACCTGTTTTTTTGTTTGTTTTTTGTCTGTGTTTCATAGGACGATATCTGACCTTGAGACCTTCCGCAATCATATTTTAATGTATGCAGGCAAACGCTTTGCCTTCTCTCCAGCTGTGTATGAAGCCAGAACTTTGCTTGCTGCATTAGACTACAACCACCACAACACCAGACCACCAATGTTGACCAAAGAAGGCAACAGAGTGTATGTCATACTATATTATTCTGTTTTTTCTTTGCAAGTACTACTTATATTGTATTGTAATATAGTAAACTGTCAGTATTTCAGCTTTATAGTGTAGCTTTGCCTGACTTGCTGATGTGTGATGTTTGTTTTGCCCGTTTTCCACCCAGATACCAGAAAATTTACAATAAAAAGTCGAGGAGATACAGCCTTTACACCATCAAGAGCCACAAATCATACAGCTACATCCCTGATCTACAAAGGGCAATCACACGCAGACGTTTGATGTCGGGGAAGGGAGTGCCACGAAAGAGGACCAGCAGGGAGGAAGATCCTAGAAGATTTGGCCTCCTCCCACCTGTGGAGCCACCAACAACAGAGGAGTTGCTTCAGAGCCAGGTCTCCAGAGGAGAGGTACATTTAAAAAAAAAAAAACAGCATTACTAGGTTTCAGAATGTGTCAATTATATCCATAACTGCTGCTAATTGCTGCCATGTCTTTTCTAGATTCTCCTCTGAAGAAAGGATTACGGATTGATTTCTGCAGACCACTCCATCACTTAACATTCAGTAAAAAACAAGCTTCTTGTAAATATTTGACAGATTGTAATAAAAAGCTAATAAACACTAGATGACATACTTTACTGAAATGAGTGTTGACATTTATTATATTTTCAGATATTGCACTTGTCAAATTGTAAAATGTGTGACAGATGTAAACAAAGTAATTATGAATACAGCTATAAACAGCTAACAAGAAGTAAACAAAGTAAGGCTAAAATGATAAAAACAAATATTAACAGCTGACAAGTAATAAACAAAGTAAGGCTAAAATTATAAATACAGCTATAAACAGCTAAGTAGACAACTATATACAAAAAGCAGAAGGTGCAGACAATAATAAAACAAAATTTGGCTGTTTCACAACAGCCCAGGGATGAAGCCTGTGTAGCTGCCAGTTGGGTCTGGAAAAGTGTCCCGTATACGCCACATGCAGCAGCTTAGGATGACAACACGTTGACCAGCCCGTAGTCTTCCATGCTGCTACAAAACAAATTGTCTGTAAGCTGCATGTCTGAATTCTCTGTTGTCTTGCCCAGGGTCTTGCGGGTCATCCAGTCTGAGATATTCATGTCTGAGCCCCCTTGCCAGTCACAGAATGCCAGGCTCCAAGCAGAAGAGTTCCAGATGTGCTGTCCTGCTAATGCAGTGCTCTGGGCTTAGCTGACAGCACTTCTTCTCCACTTCTGTTGGCATTTCCTGACATTTCTGACATGTGCACCACCATGGCTGTGCACTTGTTCTAGCAGCAGAAGGCTCAGGTAGATTTCTGGAGGAGAGGACATCAAACAAGACACCTGGGAAGCTTGTGGCTAGCCTCTCAATGAGGTCACCTCTGACCTCAGACATGTCAGCTAATGCAGCCTGTAGAGGATAAGATTCAATAAGGTTGGCTCACAATGGGGAAATGTAAAATAGGAAATAAAGATGACACAGTATAAGTTTTTATGTAAAGAAATGAATGTGTTGAACAAAAAGGAACAAACACTTATTTCATCCAGGTTACGTTGATGGAGCTGGTCAACTCTGTCCCTGTCCTCCTGTTGCAGCTGGTCTGCACCTCTGCCCCTTCCTCTTCCTCGGCCTCGGCCTCTGGAAGGCTGGCTTCTTCCTTGACCTCTGCCTCTTCCACATCCTCTACTGCATGGCTGATAGTCAGAGCTGGCTGGACTGGAGGGGACATCGAAGCTGGAAAGCTCCTAATTTATTAAATGTGTGTCAGAGCATGTCTGGTTTGTTATAAACAGGTAAAAAACATATCTAAAAAGTACAAAAATACCCCTTCAACAGTTAACAAACATTTTTGATATGAATTCAAACCTGTTGTAAGCCTATTTGTTCTTACACTCCATGTATAAGTACTATAATCAGTGGATAAATTCACGTGATTTCATGATTTTTATGTTTTATTCCTATGTCCCTAGCTGGACACTTGCTGTAGTGGTACAATTTTATATTTCATACAGTATAATTCAATGCCTAATATAACAGCAACACAAACTATGGCTACAGTATCAATGCAATAATAACAATAAAATCAATACTGCTTAGAAATATTAGTCGTTAGACTGTTTTCAGACACCGTTTTCCCCAAATAAAGTCTGAAGTCACCTTCAGTCACATATTTTTATTCAGGAAATGTAGTGCCCGTTACACTGTATCCAAAGGTAAGAGGAAGTTGTGGCTATGTTTTGCATTCTAAAAAAAGAGAGAGAGAGAGAGAGAGTTCACGTGCGTGTATGACTTGGTGATTTCTTCAACAGCTTGTGTGTGTATTTACCAGTCCTGCCGGTGACGATAAATTTACACTTTTTTTTCTACACCATATAACGGTACAGTAAATGGTGTAACACAAGCACTGACTCACTTTCTGTAATTAGTGGGACTGGCATGGTTACTTTCCTACTTTGTGTCTAACACTTTGTTTTTCATCAATGAGCAGCTACTGGAGACCGACGGACAACAAATGACTTCTGCTGACTACCACTGGGTCTTTTCATCCACTAACCTGTCAGCTACAAATTAGCAGGCACCTTGTCTCCCGTTTGTAATAGGCTATTTGCGTTTCTGTGGTAGAAAAAAACACACAATAATTACCTCTTCCGAAGAATCCATCTTTTTTTTCCACTGGCTGTCCTTCTTCAAACAGAATAAAAATGTTGTGAAATCGCGAATCACGGTGGCGGAGGGATAGCGGTGGGGAGTGGGGACATAGTGGGGGTGCGGGGTAAACCTGGGCATACGTCATATGGAAGTGCCGACTTATTTGTTGTAATAACGCATTATCCGCTGGGAGGCGACAGAAGTTACGCACTATAGCTTTAAGCTGAAAATACTAAATAAAAAGTATCAAAAAAAAAAAATACACATAGTTCCTCCAGTCCGAAGCAAGCTAGAGTGATGCCACTCAGTCTGCACATGCTCAGTTAGACAGTTAGATGTTCAGTTATTGACACAAACTCCCAGAGAAATTTACCAGCAAGTGGTTTTAGGTTTAAAAACAAAACAAAAAAAAGAAAATCCCAAAAACATTTCTATCAGAAGAATGCTATTTTTGGATGATGACACTGCTGTAAGTAGCTAGTAAATTGCTAGCAAGTACAGGTTAATAACTAGGCTACCTAGCTAGCTAGTTTCAGCGGCCGAAGTCACAAAATAGCTAGTCAGCCTAGTTAGGAGGTCTAGTTATTAGCCAGTGCTTGTTTCAAATGAATAATAACTAATCAAATAATAACTTACTAGTTAGGTTGTTACTAAGGTACTAGGTAGCTGCGGTAGGTGGTTAACTTATATTACATGATAATGATAATCACTTGCATGCTCATAGTCAGTGGAATCATGTGTTTGCTTACAGGTCGCAGCTTGGTACAAGGGGCTGATGCAAGAAGGCACAATGGAAATGCACAGAGCTTTGCAGTTGCAAATGTGATAGATAATTGGATTATACTGTACATGCAAAAAACGTTTTATAGTGTTTAACAGGGAAGCAAATAAAGTTCAATTGAATTCAAATCATTCATGTCATCCATTCCAGCCGCTTTTGTTGAAAATTATGTGAATACATTCCCAGAATTAATATTTTTATTTGATCTTGGCATGAACAATCATCTAGTGATATTCCTAATAGCTTTAATGCATTCCTTGACCCAGAAAATGTATATTTTGTCACCAAAATTGACCTTCTAAGTAGCTTGGAAGCTGACATATTGGCACTTTTGGTGGAAGGCGGCCATCTTGGATTTCCAAGATGGCTGTCTGCCTTGTGATGAAGCGGCTCCCCTTCTAAATTGAAAGCTATGGTGATGGAGAACACATAAAAAATTTTTGGTGCTTTTGTCCGGCGCGTCCCCATTCTTTTCACGTCTTTAAGCCGCCTGACTATTTCCTTTCTTTGCTTCCTTCCTCCCCACCTTCTTTTTTTCTTCCTGCCTCCCTTTGTTCATTCTTTCTTTTATTCCCTTCTTCCTTCCCTTTTCCTCCCTCCTTCCTTCCCTTCCTCCCTCCTTTCCTCCATCCCTTCCTTCCTTCCTTGACAGGAGGGTTAAAGTAAATCAGATGTAGTGCATTTCACATTAAAGTGTGTTATAATATGAATAAAGAAAAAATAAACATCTGCCAGAGCACAGAACAATTGAAACCATCAAGTGGGTTATTGACAGTGCTTTAAATCCAGAGGTTGCTGAAACATTGCAAAGTGCATTTAACATTCATAAAACATGTTTTATGCTAAATAAAACAAGTCTGCCAGAGCAGAGAACATCTGAGACCATCATCTCAGTCAGTCCAACAAAATGAAGATGGTCAAGCTCCAAGTTTTCTTCAGTGAATAAAAAAAGAATGAACAGCAAAATTTGCCTGGTGACAATGAGGAAAGAAATGCAAGGATTCCAATTTTTATATCTTATTCCACTGAAAAGATAGAACTTTTGGGGGCTGGTTTGTGTTGTCAGAGAATGAAATGTCAATGAAATGAAAGTCTTGTATCACATCTTAAAACAAAGTTCCCCACATTTTAACATCAACATTCTGTATTGAACAGTCGAGGCCATTAGCCCTCATTATCAGTCCAATATAATGAAGTGGGACAAGATCAGTGTGTTTTCCTTAGCAATCTCAAAAAGAAAACCTGAGACAGTAATGATTTTTCACAGTACATAAGTTCAGCTCAATCCTGAAGGTTTTGTTTCCACATGTGAAACTCAAGTTGAAAACAGAGGACAGATGTTACAGTTTGTACCTCAAGATTCTGTTTCTCAATCCGTGTCTGGTTTGATCTTCATCACCACTCTCTGAAGAAACTCAAAGGAATACTTAATGGCATCTGGATACTCGAGATTCACACAGTAGATGACGCCCATAAGCATGGCAAAGCTGTGTGCCACATCTTTAATGTTGTGAAGCACAATGGTCTCCTCAACCACAACTGCCACATTGAAGATCTTGTGTGGAATGGCCCCTTGTTCGTCTTCATAGCCTATCAGGATTCCAAGCTGCGTCCCCTTTATGGCTTCATCCAGGTTCTCAGCATGAGCCTTGAAAAGCAGAAATAACGTATGACCATTTTCATCCGCAAGTACATCAGCTTTACAACACCATATCAAAATTAAAGGTTTGGAGAAGCAGAGCATAGTAACAGCACAGAAGTAGATCGGTAAAGTGTTGAGGATGAGGCCAACAAAAGAAGATATTTTAGCCAATTTTAACCACGTAAAAGTCCCACCATAAAGTAGCAATGTCAGTTCAAGTGCATACCATACTTAAATATTAATTAATTAATATTAATAAATATTAAATTAAAAAAGTTATTCTTACATCACACATCCTGATGACATTCGATGGATCTTCGCCTGACATGTAGTATGGCAGACCAAGCAGAGCAGCAGCCCTTCTTCTCTCATTTGTCTCCCACAAAACAAAGAAATATGCAGTAAGATGAAAATGTTATAACAAATGGTGCCTAATTTTCTAGTCACCCCCTCTTCCAATTACATCTCTCACAAGGCAGTCCAAAATGTCTTTTAGTGACTGCTTCTTTCCAGATTTGGTTGCTGCGTTGTACACCTCCAGCAGTCTTG